TAAAAAATTTATAACAGAATTAAAAACATAAATAAATGTAACATAATACATATATTATATGTAATATATGTAAAACATAACTATGATAAATGTAAAACATAATTATACTATTTATTGATAAAATATGTAATTTTACACACACACACATAGTGTTGACACGGAGCGATTTGACTCATTTGACCTTGATAGTCGAACTGGTGACTTGTGACCCGAAGGCAAAAGCAGGTCGGCCTCTGGGTCAGTTTTTAAAACATTGTTTATCATACTTATTATTGTTTAATATGTCAAATATATGATGTTAAAAACGTTCCCATTTTTGTAATTTCTATATTTTTTTTTCATTTTATACATTTTTGAGTTTTATTATTTAATTGTGGCAACATGGATTGGCCCATTTGACCCAAATGGTTTAATTTCTTACCACCACCTAGATGAAAATACTATTTTTCCTAGGTAGATTTTAAAAGTATAAGTTTTTATGTTATTGAAATTATTAATTTATTATGTATGTATTTAATTATAGAATTTAATAATGAGAAGAAACAAAGAAGTCTTAAATATATGATTCAATGAAGGTGAATGGAAATGAATACCTTAAATGTTGGATTTAATGAGAGATAATTGAATGCATTGAATATCTTAAAATTAACTATTTTCAATTCATTCAATATCAATAACTAATTACCCTATTTGCCCTCATTTTGTATCAATAAATTTAAATATAGAGGGGTAAATTTTGTCATCACAAAATTCTAGAAATATTCTTGAGGCTATTGGTAAAAGTAGTATAGATTTTATGACTTTCTTAGTGTATTATGCTTATTGAATATACCAATTTGATGAAATCATTAAACATTTTGTACTTCTTCATGTTATTATTTTATTTTATTGAATATACCAAATTTGCACAATTGCATACTCAATTTGGCAATTAGTTTTAATTAAGTGCTAATTACTTCCTTTAATTTTTTATATATTCTCTATGCAACCAAATGCAAAAGCTTTTATAGTTTCTTGTTTATTTTTTTCATATTTTGATTATTGATGTAGGGCCCACATGATTGATTTGTGTTATGTTGGTGCAGGTCTTGCATGTTTCCACTGTATTTTTACTAGTGGGTATTGTATGTATATTTATATTATTATTTTTGTTGAATGGAGAAAAAATAAAATTGAAATTTATTAACAAATGGGTTCAAAATTTATTCTCATCCTTGCCACAAAAGGAACTCATTTTGTTGGAAAAAAGCATTTATTCTGTAACACCATTATTTTTTTAATTCTATCCGTTTTTGTTCACTTTAGAACTTTCATCCTTCCTTTGAAGTCTAAATATAGAGAATGTTGTTTTGAAATTTGAAAAGTGATAATTGACTATTTTAACCTTGTATATGAGAAAATTTGTTTAATTATTTAACTAACTAATTAACAATTAATAAACTGAATATAAAATAGTTTATAAATAATAAAAATGATAAAAACAAATAATTTTAAAGAATTTAATTAATTAAATTAGATAATAAATATTTTAAATAAACAATTATATAATTATTAATTAATTAATTACATAATTGCTTTTAAGATTTGAGCATTAATTAATTGAAAAACAAAGGATGGTGAGATATTTAAAACTGAAGTGAAAAAATGAAACTGAATGCTCTAATTGCCTCTGAAACGCATGAATGCTTTGCAACATTCAGCGTTAAGAGTTAACGAGTGGACCCTAACTTGCCCTCTTCCAGAAGCTAAAGACTAAAGACTAAAGTCACTTTATTTGGAATTGGGAATTTAGGATGAGATAATGGGCTTTATTTGCAGAGAGTTTTACCGTATAATTGTTTCCTAAATTTGTATCTAGTAAGAATGGAGCCATGAATTTTTGTGAAGCCTAAACTCTAATAATAATTCAGCTCTGGTCTTGTATTTTGTATTTGTTTTCAAGTTTAAATAAGGGCGATTGTGAATTGTAAATGATTTGCAAGCTACCATTTATTTATCCCATTTGGTGCGTCTTTCCGGCAGTCAAAAAATATTCGGAAAAGTGCAGACAGGCCTAATGTAGATTTCTGAATTCCGCTGTAAATCTATAAATATTCAAAATGTCAAAAATTCACACTCTATGCATCTATACTCACCTGTGAATTGACATCAATTCCAAGTTGGCACCTACCCCAATTGTACTTTGAGCCTATAAATTCTAACCCTGGGTTGAAGGGTCATTCTCCCAAAAATATTTGGCCATCAGAAAAATATTTTGTCTTTTTTATTTGATTAGAAAAATATTTAACCATCAAAAAATATCATCCTGAAAAAACATAAAACCGTTTTAAGCTATTTTTGAAAAGCTCTAAATGAAACTTTTTGGATATTTTTATTGTCTTCACACGAAAATATGTACAGAAAGATGTATTATAACCAAACGATATTAATGCAAAAACTCACATCCTATTCAAATCTACCTCTAAATATCTTTAAAAACAGACTTGTGAAACGGCACCTTATTTATATGTTTTTTTCTTTGTCAAATCCACACCCGAGCTGAAGCTTTACAATAAGAACGACAGGAAGCATCATGATTAAAGCGCATATATCTATACAAATCGGAAAAAGAAAAAGAAAAGCAAAGCATAGTTTTCCTTCTATACAGAGAGATAAAGAAGCAATAATGCTTGAGCATGCAAGGTCTTTTTCAGTTAAAGAATATCAGCATTATAAATAAGACACATCTCCCTTTTTTAAGTCTCTCTACTCTCTAGACTCTAGTTTTTACCGACAATCCAAGACCCCATCCTTGCCGGTTAGAATTTACAGTCTTTCCGAGGGCGAAAACTGTCTTACAGCTAAAAAACCACTCATTTTGGCTTTTGGGGGTGTGGGGTTGAGCATCTCTGAACTAGTTTGTGATTTCGTGTTTGGTGAATGGACGTTGATCTTCATTGAATCGAAGGAAGCAGTGAAATTCAGTATAATGGATTGGACGGTGGACAGTGGGCAGTGGGCAGAAGAATAATTTAATAAAATTTAAGTTTTATTTAGGCTGGAGCTGGACTTAGGATTCCCCATAGACCATATCTCACTCAGGTGATCTTTCTGATGGAAATAAGTTTCTTTTTTATGATGCTAGGGTAGATTTGATTTGATTGACTGACCTGAATAGATGTCTGCCCAGATATCCCACCCCCAGTAAAACAAAGAAGATTAGTTCAAAGCTTGATCAGAGAACAGAGGTATCATCGTCGTTGTGGGGTTGAATTTTTACAGAAAGAATTAAAATCGGTTATTGACGCGTTGTGGCTAAACAACAAAGATGGGTAAATCTTAATATCTGTATCTTCTGTCTATGGAATTGGAAGCTATTGAGGATGGGCAGGAGAAATCTACTCGGTTTCATCGCATCGCATATTCCGTCAGAGGATTTTGTTTGACCAAACATGTTGACCGGACCGCATTCTAAGGAGTTCAAGCTCGTATTTGTAATTGGTAATTGATAGCCCTTTGAAATCAGAGGCTCTCCGTCTCCGGTCTGGTCTCTGCCTAACGACTCTTCCCAAGTCCGATTGTCCGAAGCAAAAGGGTGAAAGGAAAAAGAGAAATAGAGAGAGACGCTTCGTTTCACATTCATTCGAGACTAGAGGAAGAGGAGGAGAGGGAAAGAACCAAGAAATTAAAATGGCTTTTGTTTTTTTTTTTTTTTCTTCTTAAATGACTAAAAGATCCTCCTACTTATAATATAATTACGTATTTATGTATGGTATAAAGTATAATTATGCGGTGAAAGTCAAGTCATAGTCATCACTTCACTATACAGTATTCATTAGGAGAATTATAATTTTTGACGCACGAGTCATTTGAAATTTCTGKGTGATCACTGATCACCACCACCACGCTTTGAAATGACCAATTATGCTATATGGGCGGCCCCTAAAGTTCATATTAACCAGATTGTCCCAAGATATGAATCAGTGCAAATTAATGTGATTTCAAGAGAAAAAGTTTTGTTCTCACTAGTCACTACTCCAATCAGTGCAAATTAATCAGGTAAAAGTGTACTACTCCAATCAATATCATCATCCCTTGCTTCCCCTCGGTTTTGTTTTTATAATGTTTTAATTTAATGGCGGGGTAATGTGTGCTTGGTCGGTTCTGACTTTCTGATTCTATTTCTATGGGGCCGAAAAAACGTTTCATCCTTCATCCTCATGGGACTAAGGCAGGGAACCTTCCTTGGAATCAAAATCCAAGTTGGGTTTAGACCTTAGAGACAAACCTGTACGGTTTAACTCCATTTGCTTTTGTTCATTTCTCGTTTCGTTAATTCGTTTGATCGTTTCCCTCCCACCTCCCCAAAACATCTACCACCGATTTTGCTCCTCGTCAAAAGTTATAAACAATTAAATTGCCACGTGTATAAACAAGTCACTAATATTACTTTACTTGTGAGTTGTGAGAAAATAAGAAAACAAAAAAGAGAAAGGTTCAATACAATGAGTGACGACTGACAGATGAGGGATCATTGTTCACTGTCCTGATAAAGTGATATCTACAAAGGTAAAGCGGGAAGATCTAGGGTTCCAAGGATCCATCATGTTCATCGTGTATGATGTATCATCTCATATCATTCATTCGTTCTTGTTACAATTTACAAAGGATTACAAAGGAATAAAAAAAAAAGGAAGGGCACTTTAGTAATTATCTCCAAATCAAAGGGTAGTTTACCATTTTTTACTGGAAATAGAATAACGTAAGAATTTCTTCATTTATTACTGAAAAAAAAAACCCTGTGGGGAATGCGTGTGAGTTCCTTGTCTTCTATAGTCTTCTCTCAAGTCTCCGTTTTGGGTTCAGTACTCCCTAGTTCTTTATGTTTTTGGAGGAAAACTACAGAGAGAGCGATTTGATTAATTTTCATTAGACGAGTATTATTATTATTAAAATATTATTAAATAATCGACTATTTGTCTACTACCACTATTTGGTTTACTAGTACTTTGAGAGAGAGAGAGAGAGAGAAAGAAGGGAGGCAAGGGGAAGGGAGGGAGGGAAGAGGGAAAGAAAAAGTAAAAGCAGTTGATTTCAGTTGGTGATGGTGGAGTACCAATTGCGATTGCGGTTGCGATTGGGCGTGGTGAAGAGTGTAATTGCAGTAGAGCTATCGATGTGCTGGTGGAATTCCGGTGGTAGTAATGATCGGACCTTGTGGGAGGTGGTAGCAACGGAGGCATCATCAGTAGTGGTGACGGAGCCTTTTGGGGTGTTGAAGCGCCTTCGGATGTCGGAATAGCGGATCGCAGTGACGGCCATGGCTGGCCTCGCCTTGGCCGCCACCCTCATCTACTCCCGTAGGTAAAAAGTCTTCATTATAATCACCGCCACTACCACCAAAAGCACAACAAAAACCCTAGAAACTATAGACTCACAAGAAAAGTAGTAGTAGCAGTAGAGGTAGGAGAAGAAGAAGAAAAAAAAGAAAATTAAAAGTTACCCTAAATGAGAGCCCTCCGTCGCACTCACACTTCATCTTCGTCGTCATCCAACTCCAACTCCTCTTCCTCACCGTCGTCGTCGTCGTCATCGTGGATTCATTTGCGATCGGTTCTTTTCGTCGTTGCATCATCCTCACCACTTCCCTCTGATCGGTAAGTTCTCTTCTTGATCCTTCATTCTTTTCCATCTTTTCAACTTTCATTTACTTCTATTACATTTTCCCTTTATTAACTTTCGATCTGATCTGGAAGTATTCTATGATGTTCATCCTCCATTAATCTGTTACTTCTTTATTTCCCCTACAATTTCTTTTCCCAAATTTTCTTTTTGGAATTGCATAAGATTCTGGTTCCACTTGTTGACTACTTGATTGGTATGGGTTTTATTGTTTTTTATTGGGCTTAGAGCGTGCATTACATTATTAACTTGGAAATCAAGCACAGGGCTGGATAAGTAGAGATTTATACTAAGCAGTTTTTCTTGGTACCTTATTTATCTTGGTAAAAAAGAATTGGGTATATATGTAGTTTTTTCCTCTTGTTTAGTTTCTTCTTGTGTTAGAAGGGGGCTTTGCTGTATCCTTTTGTGTTTGGTGACTTTTTTTTTTTTTTTTAGGTTCTTGTTGATTGGGTGTGGTTCTTTTATTCTTCTCATCTTATGAATTTCTTTCTTGTTTTCAGTGGGGGGATGCTTCTACTTTGATTAGCTTTGTTAGAAAAAGCCCATATTTTTATTATGATGGAATAATAGATAATTCATGCTAATGTTTTTGCCAATGAACTTAAACCATATTTTTCCTGCTAGTTTTTCTTTTCCCTTTCATGTGTCAGAGTTCGGAATTACAAGTAGAATCTTGGAAGGAATAAACTGAAGTAAATCAAATAGAAAAAAAAAGATTATGCATGAGAGAGCATTGCTGCTACCAGGGAGGTCCATTTCTATGTATTGGAGAAAATAGACTTCATGGTCTGAATAAATGCCTCAACATAGGTTCCTGTTAAGCCCCAGGTGTTGTTTGCTTAGCTAGCATATCTTAGTTCTAACTTCAAGGCCTTCGTAATTTTCTTATGATAATTCAAATTTTCTAATACCATATGGATTTTGAAGATACCTGGATGTATGTATCATATGGCTAGCAATCAAAATATAAAAAAAGGAAAAAAAAGTATCATATGGATATTGGTTTATGCAGGGCCAATTGCTTGGTGTAATGGTAAAATCATGGGCTGACAAGCATGAGAATGTGGGCTTGTTAGCATTTTCTCTGTTTTGAATTGAGTTACACTTGTTCTTACAAAATTATTAAGCTTTTTGACACTAGATATATCTTAGGTTGCTGACTTTCTGTAGTTTGTATCTTTTTTGTAAGATAATCAGCCTATGCACTTTGTTTGTATATAAGAGCTTTTTCCCCTAATCAGCATTTTGGTTTTGTAATCTATGTAATACCTTTGGCATGTTTTGACTCATGGTACAATTTGCTGTAGTTGTCCAAGATTGTAGATTGTTCTCTTCCTCTGTTTGTTGTTTGTTCATGTATTATAGGTGCTTTAGTGGAACTGAAAAATGTTGTCCCTTCACTTTCAGGGGTAGCCTTAAATCTCCATGGTCTCGTAGGAGAAGAAAACGTGTTCTTTCACCTCATCAATGGAAGAGATTATATACACCAGATGGAAAACTCCGTGATGGTGGACTAAAATTTTTGAAAAAAATTCGCAGTGGAGTAAGCATATATGCATTTACACTAAATAACATTTAGCATCACAGTGTCTTATATTGTGTTCCATTTAACCTTCTGGCTGTATTTTTCACTCTACCAGTAGTTCTCATTCCTCATATTTCTGATGCAGGGTGTTGATCCGAGCATCAGGGCAGAGGTTTGGCCATTTCTCCTTGGAATGTAAGCATCCGTATGTGTTTGGGTTACAGTATACACACATAACCACATAAAGAAAGCGGGTATCCTATCAGGTCATTTGGTTAAGAAGTCTAAATGAGTTCCTCTTGCTACCCACTAATCATGTAGCAAACTCAAGCCCTAAACCTATGTCAAATCTCCAGAATGAGCTTATTTTTATGTAAAATTTTTAAACTTTAAGATTGACACTTTGGATGTCAAGTATCACTTATGAAAAATGCCAAAACAAGATTGGGTATAGACTATAGGGCTAAAGAGCACTGGGTGATTTGGCATGTTGCAATAATCAAGAGGGTCCMCTATGGGATGGATGGTTTATTAGACTATCCCATCTATTTCTGCCACAGTGCCACATGAAATAATTTTGTGGCTATTGCTAACCATCCATTGGATAGGGACTCTCTGGAGTAGGCATATTCACTCCACTGGTCATTCCATTACCAGCCCTATGTCCCATCTCGTATTGGAGTTCTCCCTGGATCATTAGTGCTGTCTAAGTATGACTTCATAATAAGTATTTCAATTTGAAAATTCTCTCAAAGGTGGGTTTATTTTGGCTATGGCAATTTGGCAGGGGGTTTTAAGCTGAAAATGGTCCATCAATAGAGGGAAGCATGAGGCAACCATATAGCCATATGGGAGATTCCCTGGATGTTTAGGCTCCTTATTTATTCATAAGAGAACCCAGGCATCATCCATGTCACAATGCAATTTTGGGCTTAAAATGGCCCCACAAATTTGCCTTTTCACCATCCATTTTTAATTGGACAAAATTTAAGCTTGAGTTGTTCAGATTAGCCAGATCATCCTTCTATATGGGAAAAATAGGGTAGTTCATGTTGGAAAGAAGCTTTATTGCTCTTTGCTAGTGGCTGGAGTTGATTTTCTCATATAACTTTTGTGTGTGCTTTTGGTCAACAGCTATGAATTGAGCAGTTCCAAAGAAGAAAGAGATACTATCAGAAGTCAGAAGAGGTATTGTTGCAAAGTTCAGTTAAACCTTATCCCCACCTCTTTTGGCAATTCTCTTTCATCTATATCTAGGAAGCCTAGAAACTCCTCTCTTCAAACCTATCTAATAAATAATCCCATTGATTCTGGCTTCTCTTTGTTTGTAATGCAGAAATCAGTATGAGAACCTCCGGAGAGAGTGCCGGCGAATCCTAAAAGGTAGAATTGAGACCTCTAAGTTGAGGGAATGTGGGGGAACCAGTAGCAATGGGGCGAGTGGTAATGGGGAAAACGAGGGTTTTGTCCAAGGCCTGGATTCTCCTGGTTCAGAAGATGTGGTAAGTGCTAGGGATTCCCTTTCAACTGAGGAAGGTTCACCAGAGGAGGAGGATTCAGATCAACCTGTTAATGATGGAGTCCATCGAGCCTCCAACTCATTCGCAGAAGATGATGATAACAGTGGAGTTATACAAGCAGATGCGTCAGCAGGCAATTCGGAATCGTCTGACTCAGACTCCTCTCTTGAAGAATCTGAAGGCTTTCAAAATTTCTCTATCATGGAAGGGAGTGAGGAAAATGATCCTGACAAGCCAGCCAAAGAAGATTCCTCTCCCTCTAAGACAGAAGGGTGGTCCAAGGCCCACACAGATGAAGATTTTGCTACATGGCAGAGGATCATACGCCTTGATGCAGTTAGAGCAAATGCAGAATGGATGGTCTACTCCCCAGCTCAAGCTGCAGTCTCCGAGGAGAGAGCAGTGCATTCGGCCAAGGCTGTTGGGTTGAAGGATTATGACCACTTGGAGCCCTGCAGGATTTTCCATGCAGCTCGACTGGTTGCCATCCTTGAGGCTTATGCACTCTATGACAGTGAGATTGGTTATTGCCAAGGAATGAGTGACCTGCTCTCTCCAATAATTGCAGTGATAGAAGAAGATTACATGGCCTTTTGGTGCTTTGTGGGTTTCATGAAGAAAGCTCGACACAATTTCAGGCTGGATGAGGTGGGGATAAGAAGGCAGCTTAACATTGTGTCCAAAATCATCAAATGCAAGGATTCCCATCTCTACAGGCATCTGGAGAAGCTCCAAGCTGAGGACTGCTTCTTTGTATACAGGATGGTAGTGGTCCTCTTTAGGAGAGAGCTGACTTTTGAGCAAACTGTATGCCTTTGGGAGGTGATGTGGGCAGATCAGGCGGCAATAAGGGCTGGCATAGGCAAATCTGCATGGGGTAGGATAAGGCAGCGAGCCCCACCAACAGATGACTTGTTGCTATATGCAATCGCAGCCAGTGTGTTGCAGAGGAGGAAGTTGATCATAGAGAAGTACAGCAGCATGGATGAGATAATTAGAGAGTGCAATAGCATGGCTGGTCAGCTGGACGTGTGGAAGCTTCTAGACGATGCCCATGATCTAGTGGTTACMCTTCATGACAAGATATAAAAGCATTGCATGGTGATGGTGCACCTTTGTTCGCTAGTTTTTCCTTTTTTTAATTTAATTAATGTGGGTACCTCCCCCTTGAGTTTTGGGGGTGGTATTCAGGTCCAGGTCCCTTCACAAAGAAGGCATTCGAAAAGGTAATTTCTACGATTAATTTATGTGTGATTCACATTTCACACTATATTGTTCAATCTAACTTTACTACATTCACTGAACACCAGCCAACACGTTCTCTTTCCTCCGCCGGACTGCGTGAGGGAAGAAAAAGAAGTCCACACCCTGGGTTGTGACTTGTGAAGGAATATTGAATATTCAGGTCCACTGATGTTGCTTGTGTTGGATTGTTCCATACGGTGGTGCGATCCACATCTCAACAGATTCCAGATCTTGGCAGATATACACGGAAAACCAAAACTCAAAAGAAAAATTAACTTGAAGGTGGTGGTAGTCTTTCATCCACATTTATACTTCTGTATTTATTATTTCTCCCCGTATAACTATTAGCTTGATGATTTCCAAGTCCTAGGATATGATTTAACATCTGTACCTTCTTGTAACGGGAATCAATTTGGGCAATTAAGTCTGAACAATTGACTTGTACTCCTGAAAATGAATGGCTCAATTTCAATTTCTACCATCAAGTGCTATCTAGATATATACATTTTATCTTCTTTGATATCTCTGGTTTTATTTTAGATAAATTTATGTGCAATTTAATTTCATGGAAAAAGGTTTGCCCTAAAATTTTATCCGTTGACACAGTAAGACGCGCCATCACAAAATAGATGTCCCTATACAAGAATTGTTTAGTTGAAATATTTGAGACCGACTTTTAAAATAGATTAGCAATACATTCCTTGATGTAAAGAAATTGCAGAGAATCTTTAACCAAAAAAAAAGTTTGCAGAGAATCGAGATCTGCTGCTTGCACCGGACTGGAGTGTGTGGGCAGCTATGTAACCAATCACCTGGTGAATACAGTGTAAATACCCATAAATCATTAATATTCCAGGCTTTCAGGGTTCTATTTTTCATGAAATGCATCGTATACACTGCTCGTCTTAAATTAAATATTTCAAAATGAAAGGAACCATTAGACTAGCAGATATATGACCGATTTAAAACGATACAATACAATAGAATAGATGCCTTAAGCTTTTGGCTAGTGGTGAAGGATTGAAGGCACTTCCCCTTTGTCATAGTTCTGGACATATGCTCTGAACCCTAGAAGTCAAAATATGGTGGTGTTTTTGTCTTTGCCCCAATTTATAGAAAAAACGGGGGATGAGAGGCTATGTTTGGGAGTGCTTATGTTAAAAATAAATGTATATTGAATAAGTGCTTAAAAGCAAGTGCTTGTTCGAACAAGCACTTATTTATATTTGGCACTCAGTTTTTTCAAGTGTTTATTTTAAAATAAGCACTTATTTCATCTTGGGCGTTTGGTAGTCTTTTTCTCCAATAAGCAATTGTAACTCTTTTGTCCTTCATTTTCTTTTAAATTTTCAAAACATCCAATCCAAAGTGAATGAATAAAAGTACTTCGATAGAAGTGCTTTTATAAAAGTATTTTGATAAAAGTACTTTCATAAAATTACTTTTATAAGTGTTTTTGTAGAAGTGCTTTTATAAAAGTACTTTCGTAAAAGTGCTTTCATAAAAGAATTTTCGTGAAAGTGCTTTCATAAAAGTGTTTTTATAAAGGTACCTTTATAAAATTACTTTCATAAAAGTGCACTTATAAGAGTATTTTTGTAAAAGTACTTTCATAAAGTGCTTTCGTATTGTAAAAATGTTTTCGTAAAGGTACTTTTGTAAAGGTGCTTTCATAAATAAAACTACTTTCATGTAAAAGTACTTTTATAAAAGTGCTTTTGTAAAAGTACTTTCTTAAAAATGCTTTTGTAAAAATACTTTTATAAAAGTGCTTTCATAAAAATACTTTTCATAAAATTACTTTTATAAAAGTGCCTTTGTAAATTGCATTTGTAAAAGGATATAATTGATATTCTAAAAATTTACCATTGATAATTTTGGAAGTACAAATTTGAATAAATGCTTATTGTATGAACACTTAATAAAAGCTGGAAATTTGGGCTTAAAAAATAAGCCCTTGTTTTCAAAATAAGCACTTATTTCGAGCTTATTTTCCAAACACTAATAAGTGCTTAATGGTGTGGTCCCCACCCAAATCATATATATAACTTAAAGCGCAAGGGTGTTACGGTTCAGCACAGGCTTAGCCTTGCCTACGCTTGGCAGGCTTACGTTAGGGACAT